ATTAAATTATGTAATGATAATAATAAAAACAAGATTTAACCGCAAAAGTAGTTTAATTGTATTTATTTGGAGTTCAAGAATGTGGAGCGTTGTTACTGCAATGAGCGTGCGATAACGACCGCTCCGTGTCTTGCAAACCTTGAACCTGCAATGTGGGCCTTCACAATGTCTCGTTCATTGTTTATTGAGCATTGTTTTATTTACAATTGGATAGGCGTATTCAATCCTCGTTGGGAAACAAGAGCAAATTACTTATATATGTTCGTCTAATTTATGCATATTTTTAAAGACCAGTTACAAGCTTCCAGTGTTCGTTGTATATAATTTGATGATCAAGCGACAGACAGAGGCGTGATTTATTGCGATGGTGATACGTGGGAGGGGGGCCGGTAATTTTCTCCGGGTCAAAAAAGTGTGGTACACTATATCGCAAACCACCTGATTTGAAGTTATAATTGGCGGCAAAGCAAAGCGTATGCCACCAATATAATTTGATACACAAGGTCAGCTACAGAAAAATAATCGTTCGTGTAATATAAAACTATCTACTGTATGTAACAATAAAACAATCAAAATAGAAAAGTAAATTTTCAATTGGCGAAGGATCGATCGTCAGGGCTCTCGAAACTTTCGTAAGCGGACAACATTTTTATCCACGTTTACTTTGATTTCTGGTGAAGAAAGGGATTAGGGAGGGCTGGTGTTTGGGCCTTGTGACCTTGGAGAGCTTGTCCTCGGGCGGTGTCATCGACAGCGGGGACCTGGCGCGTGCTGAACACCCCACTCCTCACCCGTTCATCCCTACGCCCGTCGACCCAGACCAATACCAGAAATTTAATAAACTAGTTCATTGCTCTCATGATTTTTAATAAAAATTGTATTTTATTTAATATTTAAGTCGATTAAAAAACATATTAACTTTCTTTTGTTTTAAGTAAAACTTTGGCTATAATAAATATTTATACGTCTGACATTTATACATACGAGTTATATTATATTTTAATCTCTGACGGGTAGGTACAATTATTCTGTATATTTTTGCCTCTAAGTAGTCATGCTATACTGTTTGAAGAATATAACAGTCATTATATAACACAAGTGAGTCTTCGATCTCTTGTCTCAAAGGGGATGGTGGCAATCACGTTGTGCGATCTATGGACTTAAATAACCACTAAAACCCTAGATGGAGCGTTTACTCGTTTACCCATCTCCAGAAATTATTCTAGACAATAGAAAACGATAAAGACAAATTTGCTAAATTAATGGCAAATCATCACTACTGAAAAGACACCGCATGAAGAAATAGACAAAAGTATCAAATTTTAATATATTGTTCATCTATGTAATTGACGCAGCATATATACATATATGTAGAATCTTTTAAGGGAATTTTAATAGTATCTTTAATAATTGAAAAGCGGGTGTATTTATGTTAATATTAAGTAGAACATTTTGAAAAAATTAAGAAATTTTACGTGAAATCATTAATATTTATGGATCTGAACCAAACAGAAAGGGTGCAGCGCCAAGGCTTGGGTTCAATGACTTGGACCTAAAAGCTGACATTCAGATACCCTCAATGGGCGTTGATGCACTGTTCAAGGTTTGTTCGAATTGCAGACGAAGCAGGTTCATTGAATTTCGTGAATGCTTAGCAACGTGTACAGCGGGGCGTTTTCGACCGTGCACCAGAATTATTTTATTAAATTTCATTGTAATCTACCTTTGAAACATATTTTTAAAATAATTTTTTTTTAATTGCCTACTTATTTCTTTCCGGTTTTACTTAGTGATTATATTTAATTTATTACTCTTCTTTCGGTGACATAATTTCTCTAGAAAAATAAATTTAAATGTAATACTTATTAATTTAATAATAACTTACTTGTTGAATCTCCGAATTGTCTTTCTGTACCGCCTGAGCAAAAACCTCTGGATCCTGAGTCGAACCGTCGAAACCAACTCTTGGGTTTTTCTTTTACAATATTCTTATGATGCTTCATTTTGTTTGCATATTATTTTTAAATGTCAAAAAACTATTTTCTTCAGTAAAGTACTAGGACAGCTACTTCAAGCTGAGAATATTTTAACGTTAATTATTTTTTTAAAGGTGAACGTCGGAATCAGTGATGCCATAACGCGCTGGTTACAGCCATCGTTTAGAAATAGCTCGTTTGGCGTTGTATGATAATTTTTTTAACAAATATTATATTTTTGGTGATGATATTCGTACCTAAATCGTTGCCATTACCTAAATTAGTACCTAAATTATTGCCATCATAAACTGTTGAAATTGAAATTGATATTTCCTGAATTTCAAACGAAAAAGTTTGATTTTATATTGGTTTTCTTAAGTCTTTAGTTTGGGAAAAAGAAATGAGTCCCGCCGATGCATATCGATCGTTAAGGTCGCGCCAGTTGCAGAATACATTTACACCGTTTTATGTCGACGCCTTTTTGGAGTTTACTCCTTTAGAATCGATTTACATATATAGGCCCGGGGTATGAAAATTATGGGGACCAAAATCGTACTAGCATGTCACACGAAATGCGTTATGCGCCTGATTGGCTCCTGATTGCGTGATGCGTGCGCGCGCCAATCAGGAGCCAACGCGCGGCCGCGTTATTGCAGGTGACGCCGGGCTGCTGCGCCGNTCCCGCCTGACTGCACACTGTGTGAAGCAGGTCTCCGGCAGTATTGTGATACTCTCGGTGTGCCGAGGGATGTTCGGTGGTGTGGCACCCCCGTCGTCCACTGTCGAGTTCGAGGCGAAGAGTTTGACCAGAAGGTCAGCCTTCTCTTTCGCACTATGGGCCAGACTGTCATCGGACTTGCGTAGTGGTGGGAGACTAGACCTGCAAGTTTCCTTCTGCAGCTTTGGCGAGCGACCAAAAAGCACGCCTCCCAGAGAGATAGCTCTTTAGTCGCTCGCCAATTCTAGCAACGTGCTCCGAATTCGCCCTAGCAATAACCTTCTTGTAGGACCTGGAAGCGGCGTTATATTTCCGCCTTTCCTCTGAGACGTTAGGGTCCTGACGTCTCCTGTCGTCAACCCATGCCGCGTATGCGGAGCGCTTAAGGTGTGCAGCATCCCTACTGGCATTGTTATACCAGGGTCTGCCACGACCCCCAACGGGCACCTCAGAGGAGGGAATAAACAATTCCATCCCCTGGAGCACCACGTCTTTAAGACAATCCGCACAGACATCAGGATCGGCAGAAGAAAAGCAGAACCGTTCCCATGGGTAGGATGCGTAAAATTCACGCAGCCTATCCCAGTCTGCCGACATATACCGCCAAACTCTTCGATACCCGGTCGTCGTTCGACGACCAGGACGAGGAGTGGTATGGCAGCACGGATAAGGCAGTGATAAGACGATCCAAGCGGAGCGTCGACCACCACACTGTATCCGGCTGGATCGGTGGTCAGCAGAAGGTCCAACAGAGAAGGCTCATGCCCCTCAATATCTGGGACACGGGTGGGCTGTGTCACCAGCTGGGAGAATAAATAAAAAGACCTAAGGGGGTTGAGGCTGCGCCGCACGCTACCGTCCCTCTAGGAGGACCAGGAGGACCAGGAGGACGGGACGACGCGTCGGCGGCTGCGGACTGCGATGCGGTCCGCATTTTCGTCGTCGCTGTCGTCGCCGAATTTACTGTGGAAGAGCAACCCGGTCGGCGGTGTATCGCGTTCCGACCCGGCAGGCTGGTTCTGGCCCAGCAGGGTATCCCGTAACACCAGCGGTATCGCCAGGGCGGCCTGGCAGGGCCGCCGTACCGCGGAGACCGGCGTCGTTGGTCGTCGACTATCGCCTCGACACGGTGGCGCCGCGTGTCTGGTTGTAGTGTTGACCGCGGGAGCCCCCCTACTCTGACCCGGTTTTGACCCCGGACGGAGATCGGACGTCGGGTATAAGAGTGCAGGGGAGTCGTTTAGTGGGTGGGTCCTAAATTTTCTTAGGCCTGCGGTCTGCTTCCAACACCTTTCAGATTGTTGAGTCCCACATACCCCGCGCGCCCCCTAGGCGCGGGGACCTCGTAGGAGGATCGGCCCCAACCCAGAAAAAAAAGGGCGGTCTCGTTGTAATGTCCAACTGCTAACATATTATGTGGAGTTGAAAAGTTGGTGTTAAAAGTTACATGTTGAGAATAGAGAGGCTTTCATCAATAATTCTTGGGTTTTCCGAGCCCAAATAATGACAATTCTGCTTTTTAATTAGTAGCTTCCAGGCGCAAATTGAACTCGTTATTAAAAATGTTTTTCAATTAAGTTCCAGATCAGTTCGATGAATTTCAAGCATTGTCTTATCGATATACGTATCTATCAAATCTCATAACTAGTTACATAAACAAATTCCTTTGTATGAAATATTTTATTTTTATACAAGAAACAGATCGCTTTAAGCAATGAGACATTAGAATTTTATATTATAACAATTTACACTTTATACCTTTAATTTATACATTTTTATTTTATACCTTAAATTTTTTGTTTGTTGATATTTTGTTTAAAAAAAATATAGAAAATATTAATACATATATCCAATATGAAATAATGTGAAGTTGTTTTGTTGTTTGTCTGATCTGACTNATACAAGAAACAGATCGCTTTAAGCAATGAGACATTAGAATTTTATATTATAACAATTTACACTTTATACCTTTAATTTATACATTTTTATTTTATACCTTAAATTTTTTGTTTGTTGATATTTTGTTTAAAAAAAATATAGAAAATATTAATACATATATCCAATATGAAATAATGTGAAGTTGTTTTGTTGTTTGTCTGATCTGACTGTGATAGTAGACTTTGTATATTATAAAGATATAGTTTATACTTTGATGTGTTTCACATAAGGAAATACCTTGCAAAAATTTCATCCAAGACAAATGAAAATTTTATGGTTCATATTAGAACTGAGATGTGAGCTTGAATGTATTTAAGTCATCATGAAAACAATAGACAATAGTGCTTATGTTATGACATTCCACTTACCTACTTTCTCTTTTGGTTTGACATCAACAGGAACATCTAAGAATTCCACTTCTTCATACACACTATCCCTCGTGAGTTCTGGTTCTGATGAGTCTTTCTCTGCTTCATTTACATACTCAATTTTTATTGCTGGTTCATGGCCTGAAGAGAATTAATGAAAATTTAGTTTTAAGGCAAAATATTGTTTATTGATACAATAATTTTATGATAGCTTTGATATCAGTTATCAAAGTTATATTTAAGACAGCTTTTTGGTTTTTTTTTTTCGGGCGCGGGCCGTACCTTCTGCGAGGTCCCCGCGCCTAGGGGGCGCGCGGGGAATGTAGGACATGACGTTCTGTATTTGTAGGGAGCAGATATTGGAAGCTGATCGTGGGCCAAAGAAGATTTAGAGCCGCACTGAGCGACTCCCCTGCACTCTTACACTCGACGTCCAATCTGCGTCCGAAGTCAGAACACGGTCAGAGTAGGGGGGTTCCCGAGGTCAACAATACAACCAGACTCGCGGCGCCACCACTAAGACGCCCGACCGACCAACGACGACCAACGACGCCGTCTCCGCGGTACGGCGGCCCTACCAGACCGCCCGGGCGATGCTGCTGGTGTTCCGGGATACCCCGCTGGGCCAGAACCAGCCTGACGGGTCGGAACGCTATACACCGTCCACCAGGTTACTCTTCCACAGTAATAATTTAACATAGCTATGTCAACTTTCACGTAGTTTCCTGTAGGATAGCTTAACTCCTGATTGATTTTAAGAGAAACGCCAAGCATAACTCTTCCTATGACATGACAGTCGGCAATATGTAGAAAATCGATGATCATGATCACATTGTTGTTCTGCCTACTACCGACATTGGAACAGATGGATACTAGACCAGACCAGCAGTCATAATGTGGACTGAATTTACAAGGAGTGTCTAACAGGAACTATGAAAAGCAGGCTTGGTGTTACAATTTGAGAGAGATCTATGTCCAGTAGGGTATGACAGTGGTTTGAAAATAGTAATACTAAAAGTGGTTGACTACTATTCTATTAAAGAAAAGATTGTTACCGATTAATGTTTTCTTGTCCAACAATGATGCAAGCACCACTGAATGCTCTATCCATGCTAGTTATTAAAGATATTGGCACAAACACTTACCATTACTTATTTCGTCCATCAGTTGCTTCTGGGATCTTATAACTAAATTCCTAAAACTGCACGACTCTCTTAGCCTCTTTATGCATGGATCACAGATTTGATTGTAGTCCTCAGAGTCTAACTGGATCCACTGTGGAGTATACGAATGGCTATTTACATGATGGAAATTTCTAGATATGTTTTCACTCATAAAATAAGTTATTTTTATTACGTAGCTGACACAAAAATATTTTGAGTATCCTCATCAAAAAATTGATTGAAAGAAATTGAAGAATTAGCTTGTGTAGTACAATGTTAGTTTTGTATATTTCTGAGTAATAAATAATAAAAGGTATGTACATATTGTGTTTTATTTTATTTAGCAAATTATAAATTTAAGCAAAAATGTTAGGTAACATGTCATTAGTTCACTAATGTGTTTGTTTTAATAAAAATTGCACTTAGTAATTCTTTTTATGAAAATGAGAATAAGTACCCTCACTAATACACTACAGTTCATAACTAAGTTGCTATTTTATTAATGAGCGTTCATAAATTAGGGTATTTCACATCTGTATGTGAGCAGAACTGCTAATCTACCAGACAATGTGATCTTGAATAGAGCATTATTTGGGCACTGCACAATATCTGGGGAATGTGGCCGGTCAGGTAAGATGTCCCATTTGAAGCCAAGTCTCATTGTGGCTGCCCAGCACTCCTTAATCACATTAATCGATAGCCATACATTTACCCAGTGATAGTTTGGTTCAATTCCAACAGCTTATAATAAAAAAAAAACAGCAACATGTTTCAATGTATTTGAATGTATTTTTTTATTTGTAATTTTTCTTAACATAACTTTGTTTTAACGTGAATCTTGAAAGTCTTGTACTAGGTACATATAAATGCATTATGTATATGTTTTGTTATTTACAAGGCACATGTTGCATCTATTTACTTATCGATACCTACCAACTCCACAATAAAGAATTTGTTGTAGTATAAGTGTAACATAAATAATTTCGGTGGCGGCGCGGCCCGGTTTATCAGAATCTGACAGAGGACCTCACTTTAAGAGAACAAAGCAGTTGACGATAATAAAATGGACTGAGATCTCGTTTTTCAAGATTTCAAAATACAATGGGGAATCTTTTTGAAATGTCGTCCCTAATTTTAAAAAACATGATATCAAACCGACATCTATCATCAAGACATCTAGTTACAATGATACCAATACGTATAATGTTGAGTACCTATTTCTAATATCTGAAATCTCGGTATTTGTTATTACTGACCGAAAAAGCGTAGCATTTGGTTAACATTTCGCCGTAAACCTCTGTATGTCCTTGCCATTTGTGTTCGGACCATAAATATTTTAAATAACCATATTCCAAACAGCATCTGCATCTTCCGAAGTACGTTTTCACTTCAATTTCCATTTTTTTATATTATTAAACTACAATTCGCTTTGTGTGAGCAGCTATTGATCAACCCAGACATTAAAAAAGAAAATCAATTAATAAAGAAAATGTTAAAACACGGTTTAACAATTTCCAAAACATACGCTGACAGCACGCCATTTTGATAGACTAGTAATAGTAATAGGTAATAGGGCTTTTCTCGAAGAGAAAGGCAATCGAACTAAGCCATACAGCCAATTCTTAAGTTTTACATTTTCATATTCTAGTTTTATATTTCAAGGTAAAAAAGCCAATACTTAGGATTCTTAATTTTTTATTTATTTTTTTTATTTTTTTATTGTTTAGATTTGTGGACGAGCTCACAGCCCACCTGGTGTTAAGTGGTTATTGGAGCCCATAGACATCTACAACGTAAATGCGCCACACACCTTGAGATATAGTTCTAAGGTCTCAGTATAGTCACAACAGCTGCCCCACCCTTCAAACCGAAACGCATTACTACACACGAATGCACCGGACGTCTTATCCGTTAGATCACGACGACTTTATCTCATTTATTTATTTTCAAATCCGTGTAAAGGTCTCGTCAAGTTTTTGCAAAAATAAATACTTTTCATTACCCACTACCCCACAATGTGCTGGAGTCCATGTGAATTCAACAGTGATATTTTGATTATGCAAATCCGTTCATTGCTTTTTAATATGATACGTAGTTTATTCTATTGCTAAAGCAATTATTTTACAGGTTGGATAGAACTGACATATTGTCACTGACGATAAGCCATTGCTTCAGTTTTCTGGCATATATGTGTTATTTTATATATTTCAAGGCATGCAATATAGCAATTATTATTGATGGTAGGACCTCTTGTGAGTCCGCACGGGTAGGTACCACAACCCTGCCTATTTCTGCCGTGAAGCACTAATGCGCTTCGGTTTGAAGGGTGGGGCAGCCGTTGTAACTATACTGAGACTTTAGAACTTATAACTCAAGGTGGGTGGTGCATTTACGGTGTAGTTGTCTATGGGCTCCAGTAACCACTTAACACCAGGTAGGCTGTGAGCTCGTCCACCCATCTAAGCAATAAAAAATAAAAATCAAAAAGTCTTCTTTAGATTTAAGGTCATTATATAAAGATATACGCATAGCGCAGAATTTACTCACAAATGTATATTCATAACAAGCTCATTTAACGACTGCTTTGTAAATGTTATGTTGCTTAACAAACGCCATAAAATTCGAGAAGTGAAGACGAATGAAAGGGTATTTTGGAGAATTAATGGAATAAGGAATAGTTTGGGAATGCTGAATTTTTCGCAGTAGTGCATGATGTGAAATAGCGCAGAGCAGAATAAATTTAAATTTTAAAACGCCGTTTTGAGATAAAAATTTATTTAATTAATAGCTGTGCCCGCGACTTCGTTCACGTGGAATAGCGACTTTGGGCAGCAGTTTTAGGACATATCTTTTGGTTTATAAGCACCGTCATTTGGGTATTTAGAAAAATCTAATTTAAAGTAATGCTTCTCTATACACGACATAGACGTATAGCCATCGGGGATCAAAGCCTACAAGTTGCTAACATGTGACAGAGCTACATAACCGTGTGACCGAGTTGACTGTGTGAAAAGCAGTTAACACTTATATCTACACCCACAACTTTTAGCGTCTGACCTTGGGCTTTATTTATTATCATCACGAAGCATAGACTCAATGGAACCGCGATCGGTAGGGAGTTGTGCTTCCCGTTCTTCTAGTGTCTCCCGAGATCGGGCAAGCTTTTGCTGTTCGAACTCTCTGAGAGCTCAGACGGATTTCCCTATCAGTAAAGGTTTGAATTGAATTGAATTTGAATTTTGATTGGCAGTGAGACGTGTTTCTCGTTCTTCAAGTGTCTCCTAAAACCGGGCATTTGCTGTCCAAGCCCTCTGAGGAGCTCAGGCGGGATTCCCTATCAGTGAAAGTCTCAGACTCACGCGATAGTGTATAAGATCGATGGACAAACTTGCGTCACGCTGTTCCTTGTTCACCCTAATTCGAGTGGTATTTTTTTGAGAACAATGTGAACTCATATCGAGATTCTCGCTGAGCCGAAGTTTCTCTAACACGAAACCTCGCCTGACATTCCTGAAATGTAGTGAGCCTTAGTGAGCCTTGCCTCATGACCTGCTTCATATTTCTGTGATCGAACTAATTTCATCCTTTTAGCATTCCTGCTGCACTGGGAGAGGTTGGATCTTTTTCGAGACATTCTTACAATAAGTAGTACCTACTAACACAACGTTGTTTGGTAAACACGTACTTATCATAAAACTAAATTATAAATACTTACAGATTATTACACAGTTTAACTTTATTACAGTTTATTAATTATGAATAACTATTAAGTCATGTCAACCTAACCTTTTAACTATAGAAAACAAACGTGCCTATTGGTTAATTTACTCATCGAGCCCTTCGTCGCAAGCGACGGGTTCGTCAAGGAAGCAGCAGCGCGGCATCGGCGCGCCTTGTATAGGTACCCGCGCGGCTGCACAGACGTAAACAATCTACAAACGCCTAGCTACGTGATTCTTTAAATTGGCATAACTTTTTATGTTTATGAACCGATTTACATGAAACAAACACTAAATGTTAAGTAAAGCTTGGCACAATAAATTAGTGAAAACCACATTTAAATCGGCTGGGCTGTTTCCGAGATTAGCGTGCACAAACGCACAGACAAACAGACACACAGATAAACAGACAAAAATTCTAAAACTCATTTTTTTGGGTTCTATTGCGTTCATATAACAGTTTTCCTGAGATATCTTCCATGTACAGACAGCGACCAGTTACGATTTTATTATATGTATTGATGATGATTTAAAACTAACAGCCGTCAGTTGTGTCGTACAGCCCAACCTTAAGTTGGTTAAATGTTAAATATACTTTTTATAGACAAAAATTTTGTTTCAAAATTTAACCCAGAGATTGTCCGGTTGTTTAAAGAATTACGTATAGAGTTAGACGTAGAGTTAATTGACGTTCGATCAGTACATATTATATTAAATAAAATGTGTTTTTCTACCACCGACTGATAACAAATCTCATTTTGAATTAGAGTTTCCGTTAATGTATGTGCTGAGATATGAGATGAAACAAAAAAAAAATACTTATAAATAGTTTGCATATTAAATTAATGTGTAATATAAGACAAAACCGTTTTGCATAAGATGAAATAACGTCTTAATAAGATGGTGGAAATCTATAGTTACATAGAATCGATTGAAAGAACTCGACACGTCCACATGTTTAATTTCTGCACACTTATACATTTACAGATTTTAAGCGGTAAATAAGGCACCAATATAATAGTTCCAACAACAAGAAACAGTGAAAGATCAAAACAATTCACATCATTTGTTCCTGGCGCTTCCGATACGAATTCCTCAGCTTACTTTTAAACAGGTATAGTTTCGTTCTTTGATCAAAATTTTGACATTATGTGCTATATTGCCTTTGCCTGTCCAATAAACTAATTCAACAAAAAACTCTTGTCAATTTTGTTGTCAACAAGCTAAACAACTTTTCAGCTTTTTCACAATCAAAATAGAGTAATTTATTTACCAAATAAAAATGGAATCGAAACGAAATAGAAGTAATTATGGAAAGTGCCGTTGCTGTTTAACTAAAGGCTATCATAAAGATATAATGAAAGAGTATTACCACGACGGTATACGAGAGGTTTACTTCGATCTATTCATGGAATGTTTCAACATGTTTGTGAGTAAATAGATTTTAAATTGTATCGAATGTTCTATATTTAAAAATCGATATAAAATAAGTCCCATAAAAAATTACCAAAACAAGCTGTAAAAGATGAAAAGTAAAAAAAGTCACTTGTTTTTAGTTTAGTTCAGTGTGATGAGTGCGAGGTTTTTAACGTTTTTTACGCTATCGAGAACGCTAAAAACTCGCACTAAGCACACAGCAGACAGCCAACCTGCAGCCTACTAAATGTTAAGTGATCTTCAGTATACATAGATATCAAAAACCTGTGAACACTTCAATGAGACAGACCAGTCCTGTATCAGAAAAAGACCATCTCGCCCTTCAAACCGAGACTTGTGCTATCAGCTTAGGTAGGAAAAACAAAAAAAAATCTAGTAGCAATTTCCTTCCAGTTTGAGCCCTGAGAGCTCACCTACAACACTATGGTGAAGCTGAAGCATAGGTAGGAAAAAAAACTTAAAAATAGACTATAAACTGTAATAAAAAAATTGAATGAATTTGATAGCATAAATCATAGAACTGTTATTTTATTCATTTTAATGGTCGCTCTACAATATTCTTTGTAATTCCAGTTGTCGACAAACGAAAAGCTAACAACATTAATATGCAAATCATGTATTACAAAGCTAAGACATGCAAGCAGTTTCAAGTTAATGGCTGAGAATACAGAGAAGCAGCTACTAGATGAATTGGTACTCAGAGATGACAAGAATACCGTGTTTGTTAATGGTGAGATACTACATTTTTGTTTGGCCCATCAATAGAGTGGACAGCTACCATTCTTTTTTATGTAAGTTTGTCTGGTATTCTGACTGTATTATTGAAAGTCATTCTGAAAATTGATTGTATTCAGGTTAATTTGAGAAATTACTATATTTTGTGTTGGTTTTTACCTGTCTCATGTAGATCCACAAGCTCTTAAACTTATGATCCCCACGATGAAAAAAATCATGTTTCGCATTTATACATTTATATTTTTATGGCTTAAATGGGTGGACGAGCTCACTTCCCACTTGGTGTTAAGTGGTTACCTGCACCCATAGACATCAATAGTTTGAATGCTACCACCCTCCCTGAGAAATTTCATATAATTCTTAATTAAATAAAGACCATGACAAAATGAAGAAAATTAAAATTTGATGCTACATATTTCGAAGCTTAATACAAAAATAATTATTTTCCAGTGCCAGTAGAAGACGCAATCTTAGATGATGATCTAATAATAAAAGCTGAAGAGCTGACAGAGGTTAAAGAGGAACCACCAGACTCTGAACCTATGGAAACGGACTTTGATACCGATTATATCGACAATGACAGTGGTAAGTTCTCAATCAGCAGAAAATCTTGTGACATATTATACATGTTTGAGAATTAAACTCTAATCCGAACATGAAATCTATTTATATATATATATATAAAAATGAATTGCTCTTCGTTAGTCTTGCTAAAACTCGAGAATGGCTGGACCGAAATTTTGGTTCTGAATTATTTGTGTCAGTCCAGAGAAGGTTTAAAAGGTAGGTAAATATAAAAATGCTCGGAATTAAATAAAAATAACAATTTTGTTTTTCCTTTGATGTGTCCTCCGTCGGATGGGTTCCTTTTGTTTGTTTTAAGTTTAATTTATATAATAGTTTACGTCTTTTATTTATCGATTGAGGTACTACAAAGTTGCTGGGTCAGCTAGTATTGAAATAGAAATTAGTATCAGAATTTTTTTTAATGTCAGAATAACAATATATTCACTAAGTGCAAATTTTATGCCCTAATCTTGCCATAAATACTGAGACAAAGGAAAAAAAAATCTATTCCAATTTTTTTTTATTGCTTTTATGGGAGGACGAGCTCTCAGCCCACCTGGTGTGAAGTGGTTACTGGAGTCCATAGACATCCACAACGTAAATGCGCCACCCACCTTGAAATGTAAGTTCTAAGGTCTCAAGTATAGTTACAACGGCTGCCCTACGGGGATGGCGGGGTCGTGGTACCTACCCGTGCGGACTCACAAGAGGTCCTACCACCTGTGAGCCGGTACCACACATACCAGAGAGAGGTCGGAAAGTGCACATAAATTGCACGAAATATATAAAAATTTAATCTCATGTCTCAAACCTCAAAATTAATCTCGAAGAACTTTATAACTTTTCCTCCTCAGATGTAACAACGAAAAACCATTCGGACACGGAGAAAATGGTGAAAGGCGAATCCGAATTGTTGGCTCGCTTCGACCGAACCGAATTGAAGATGTTGCCAACTAGAAGGGCCCTACGAGATCTGTGCCCCAACTACGTCAGACACTTGGAGCTGCTGAAAGGTCAGTCTTCTTACGCGCCGGGGTTCGGGGAAGTACTACTTAAAACTGTATTCAACACTAAGAACACTTAAAAACTTCACAAACTTTTTTTACTGGTGGTAGGACCTCTTGTGAGTCCGCGCGGGTAGGTACCACTACCCTGCCTATTTCTGCCGTGAAGCAGTAATGCGTTTCGGTTTGAAGGGTAGGGCAGCCGTTGTAACTATACTTAAGACCTTAGAACTTATATCTCATGGTGGGTGGCGCATTTACGTCGTAGATGTCTATGGGCTCCAGTAACCACTTAACACCAGGTGGCCTGTGAGCTCGTCCACCCATCTAAGCAATAAAAAAAACAGACAAAAGTCTGTACCCAGCCCCTAGCTTAATTGAAGAAAAGCCTTATTTATTTTTTCTTGCAATTCCCTGAAATGTAATTTTCTAGGTATAGAAGTCGTACCGAGAATGGTGAGGAAGTTACTACAGGAGAACACCAGATTAACGAACAGCAAAAGAGTATACGTAACCGAGAAGGTGGCGCAGATCGTGAACTCGTCGACGCTACTGGAAAATTCCAATATGACCCCGTTCAGGAGTAGGGCCCGTAACGGCTACCCCTGTTTCTATTGCAGAAACGTATTCGAGAACCTAGAGAAACTTCGAGAACACACGGCGATGCACAAGAAAAACGAAATCGCCCGAGTCCTAAGGACATACGGCTCCGAATGTTTCCTGGTCAACGTCGACGTGACCGATTTGATGTGCACGATATGCGACAAGAAAATGTCGAACGTGAACGAATTAAAATCCCACCTCAGCAAGGTACACGAGAAGAAAATCTACACCGAATTCTCGGACAAAGTCGTGCCATACAAATTGTCGCGCGATAACTTCGAATGCCAATTCTGCGGGTGCAACTTCGAAACGTTCGGCGCTATAGAACGCCACATGAACGTGCATTTCCGGAATTACGTCTGCAAGGAGTGCGGCGCCGGTTTCGTCACGAAATACAGACTGAAAGTGCACGTGAAGGGCCACTCGGACGGGGTGTTTCCGTGCGAAATGTGCGGAAAGATCTTCACTACGCAACAGAAACACAAAAACCACGTCGACACCGTTCACAAAATGGTCAAGCGCTTCAAGTGCACCCAGTGCCCGGAGAGGTTCACCGAGTACTTCAGGCGACAGAGGCACATGGTCGAAGTTCACGGCGTGGCCCCACTCCAGTACAGGTGTAACGTTTGCGATAAAATATTCGAAAGGCGATATACACTGTCGAGGCACATGAAGAGGGATCATCTAGAGGAACGCGACTTCCAATGCGAATTGTGCTCTTACAAATGCTTCTCCAACAACGAACTGAGCATGCACATGATAAAGCACAACGGGGAGAGGATTTACGAGTGTTCGGTCTGTAAGAAGTCGTATGCGCGCAAGAAAACTTTGAGCGAACATATGCGAATCCATAATAATGACCGGAGGTTCGCGTGCGCGGTCTGCGGTCAGGCTTTTGTGCAGAAATGCAGTCTAAAAGGACACATGAAGACGCACCATCTCGAATATAATATACCTTGAGGTTGTAATTGTAATGTCACAAAACCTGTGACCGTTAGTGGCGTGGACATAGCCTAATGAAAGTGACCACTTGATTATTTGGTCGTACTCAGAGACTCCATAGGTAGGTACCACCTTTGTACTGATCTGTTGAGGTTGAAGTTCAACCTCATACCTCATTGCGGGCGGCAGTATCCACATTGTGATGTCTATGTGGGCCAATATCTGTTTAACATTATGTGGCCTATGACATCTGCATACCTGCGATCAAATTACTGAAGTTCTGTTATGTGTGATGATATTCTAACTACATAAATTAAATTATTGTAAAATCTGTATTTTTGAAATAAAAGTCACCAGTGATTTATAAGAACTTTGATTTATTGTATTCCATTACAGATATGTAGTATACATTTTTAAGGTTTTACATAGTAACTGAACTCTAAAGATCACTAAATGTAACTATACTGAGATCTTTGAACTTATACCTCAAGGTGGGTGGCGCATTTACGTTATAGATGTCTATGAGCTTTAGTAACCACTTAAAATCAGCTGGGCTGTGAGCTCGTCCACCCATCCAAGCAATTAAAAAAAAATTAAACATTGAGAATCACTTCAAATATGATGGCCATTGGTGGCAGACTCGTGATGTCCGACCATAATTAAGATATGAATTAAACCTACTATAACTTTTCTATAGACTGTAACAGATTTAAATATCAGCTGAAGCACGTGATGCCAGTATTTTAATGTTTTAGTTAGTATAGCAGTTATAGAGAGACAAATATCTTAGCAATCTATGGATTCATTGTGTGGGATCATCATATTGTTGACAGAGTAATTCAGTGATCTTGCGACTAGTGTAGGTTTATAAGTAAAACTAAACATTAGAAGTTAAAAGCCATTAGGGCAACATCACCACCAACAATAGGTGCAACATCAGTGAAACAATCCGAACCGATACACCTCTGTTTGAATTTAAATGGAAGTGCCCTGAGAAATTGTTTGAGATCAACCTTTAATCACCTTTTTTTTTTACCACGACACCTCCCACTACCGGAGCAGAGTTCATACACAATATGTGAAACAGTTGTCTTCTGTCATTGACAGTCCATTTTCAAAGATCTTTTCTACCACCTACCAACTCGTCCTGGAATGAACTGTTCTCCTGTTTCCTAAAGCTCTAATACATGTCCTTCTACAATCGAGGTTTCACGAGAAGAACTCAACAGTAGACAAAGACTACTGTTGAATACTGAATGGGGACAATGTCGATTGGCATTACTGACATAAATTAGTGAAGATAACCACACACTATAAGGTGGACTGTATGCTCGCCTGCTTATAAAGATAATTAAAATAAATAATAGTTTAAAAAAAACTAACAAAATACGCTTTTATAGAAAATCCAACTAAAAAATAGAAAATAAATCATAATAAATTTGAATTAATAATAGTGTAAGAAAAAATGATTTTACTGTAAAAAAAACCGTGGGGTGCATGGTATCAGTAGTTATAAGAAGGGCTATTTTGATAATATCCTGAAAAGCAAATCATGTTCAAAGATTCCATTACAAACATACATATGTCTGAAGCTAATAAAAGCGTATTAAAAAATAGCTGATAGGGATCTCCAGCCTAGAGATGGGAGCAGTACTCTACACAACGATAAAACGTATATTTTGACTCAACATGTAGGTCTTTACTCCATTGAGGACTGCCACTGTTTTACATGCCATCTTAGTTTGTTAGAAATTGCTGACATCCATATGCGACGGTGACCACTGATTGTCAGGTACTCTGTATACAAACTGTCTACCCTGACAGAAAAAAAATGGGTATTAATTCCTTATCAAGGAACTAGTTTAACACCTTCCAAATGTATTAGTGTTTCAGCTCACTGAAAAAGTGTCATTATTGCTAATATGAAACTACGATTTACAATTTTTAATTGATGTAGAAAGATTTGCAAGACATTATTCCTTCAGTAACATATCAACATAAGCATTATCAATTAGATCCTCATTCTGTACACCAAGCTTTTTTTGGAGTTCGGAAGCGATCTTCTGACCATCTTCAACTGTCTGTTCCGGAGCTAATACTACTTCTAGCTCCATAAAGTGTCCTAGGTCTTTAACTGTGTCTATGTGTATACGTGTCTGGCCAACCATGTACAGTTTTCTGAAAAAGTTGTGTCTGTTATTGTATATGTTGGAAGTTGAAGTTTGGAATTTTGGAAGATGATGATCAACCAACACATCAAGGGGTCATTTTGCAACTTTACAGGGTAACCATTTAAGTTTAAAATTTTGAAAAAATGTAAAAAAAAATCTTTGGCTATTTGAATGGAGTTGACATAATTGATGTTCATTTAAAAAATTATGTTGACGCTAATACCAAATAAAATGGACCTTTAATCACAAAGATAAATGTTTCGTAATAAGCGAAATATTGCTTAAAGCAAATAGCCTTGCACCCCAGATATGAAATCTCTTCAAATATAAACTTAAAATTCATGTAGTTTCCTTAAGTTAATTATATTAATGTTGTGTTTGTGCTTCTGGTGTTGGTGATGGCCAATAGTGATGATAAGCAGATGGGCGGTGAACTGTATTCAAAAGCTATAAAAAGCTTTGGAATATGGCTACAGGTTAATGCAAACAAACTTAAACTTTTTTCATCAAAACTTTCATCAGCAGAATTCCAAACATAGTTGATAGACTTTAACAACTAGTTCGTATTTTACTTTAGTTTCGTCTGAATAGTTTCAACTGAATTAATGCAGTGGTGAACATTATTTTGGCACTCTCATATTGGCGTGTATGGCATGTGTATGCCGTATATCTTTTTTTAGTTTATTTAGTAATCAATTGTACCTTGAGAGGAGCCAGTATTATGAGATCTTTAGCTATGAAGTTGCTGTTTAGTATGCAGAAATTTACGTAAGCTAAATAGTAAACACTACACACCAGATTGGCTCTGCCACTGGCATTGCTGGCCTCATTATTGCCGACAAACTCTTATTTCTTAACACTCATATTTTATGGTAACCATGATAAAAAAGAAACGAATTCACTAAAACAAAACACTAATTATTAAACAAATGATTTTCTTTATGAATTGATTTCGGGATTTTTAAAAGAATTTATTTGAACTTAGAATTTATGGCCATACATAAATTACGTTTTAAATAGTATTATAGCACAGCAACTTGACAAATAAAGAGCAACTATTTATCTAATATATTTAAACTCATCGTATCTACCAGGTATCTTATCCTTTAGACTCTATACAAATAGAGCTATGTGACTATGCCTCTGTAGGTGTATTATTTTAGTACCAATTTTTTGAAGAGAATATGTGGGTACTTAACAATTATTCTCAACTAATGACATATGCAGTGAAGCAGTGAGTAGCTATCAGCACCCCGTCAATTCTACTGGTAAGCAATAATGCGTTTCGGTTTGAAGGATACAGCCCTTCTGCTGTAGAAATAAAACTTAAACTTGTGTCTTATGGTGGGTAGTGGCATTTACGGTGTTAATGTCCATTGGCTTCAGTAACCACTTAACATCAGATGGGCCATAATGTCATATCTAAACAATAAAAATAAAAATAAAAAATACCCACCGTTCTTTCACAACACGGCCTTGCGCTCCCAAGCATTTCTTCAACATATCATCCAAAAGTTTAGCCTTCTCGTATTCTGCAGTGGTAAATTGTAATAATTCGTAATTCGCTAATTTCGGGCCCTTTTCTTTACTTCTATCATATCGCACTAGGGTGGCAGCGGAGTCCGCATAAAATCTCATTTTTAATCTACCGTTGTTAACTTTGTAAAATATGTCATTCTGCTTGATTAATGTTGGCGGACCACCACTTAATTCTTCTGCGACTTTACAGATCTTATCGTAGTCTCTTATTTTCCCTTTAATTTCAACGTTTCTCATTTTCTGTTGCCTATTTAATAGGTAGGGTATAATTAAACAACGCCTGACTACCACTTCGATTTAAAGTTGAGCAGGAATGCCCGCCAACTTAAAAAAATGTAGTACAGATAATTTTTTGTTTCATTTGTCCTTCGGGCAAGTAAAGGGAACGTAGTTCATACGTCCAAATCTTTAAAGCAAAGGTGGAGTCCATTTATATTCTATGAAAAAGTGATAGCTGTTAAGATATTAATAATTGAGATATAATTAATTATAAACTATATGTCTCAAAACCAAAACTAAACATCGTAAGTATTGGTCGACATGAAATAACTTCATTTACTCCAAGTTCAATGGACTTCAAAGGGCATTAAAAATTTTCTAGGGGTCCTCCATGGGATTTTAACTAATTTACTGTCTTTTCATTTTAAGGTTAAGTCATTTTGCCTCAATTAAGACTTTTGAACCAGTCTTTCATTGCGCATGACATTTTGGTGCCTAGGAAGCCCGCAGGGTATGCGGGTCTTGACGACCCGCAGTAGATGCGAGCGAACTATGGGTCCAAGTATATTTTAGAATCATATCAACCAAAGACTCCTCTTCTTTCTCTCTCGGTCGTATTTTTGTCGCAACCATAATGGTGGCACTCCATTGGTAGCTCTCTCCAGGCGAAGCGGTGCAGGTGTAGGCCAAAATATCCGAGACCCGTGAACACTTACATCACCCGCAAGACGAGACGCCCTTAATCCTCGTTCACCCCGTTCGCAATGTGCTCAGTGCGATCTGGACCCGGTATCGTGCCATGGATCGCACCACTCTCACGTAGATGCTTGGCAAGAGCTGGAACAACGTGTCGAGTGTCGCCATTAGCCAAAGGCCAGGCGTAATATGATTCGTTGATCTGAAAGCCATCCTGCCTAGGGTGAAGGCCTAATTAGAGAAGGTAGGCACGTGATAGATGATGCAATTGAGGGACAGTGGCCATCTCTGTCATTACACTATCGACGGATATGGACCCATTCTGATCAGATTTCATATCTCCCACTTTTAACTAATATCTCACTTTTAACAGTACACCGGCTGCCCCGCCTTTCAAAACGAAACGTATTACTGCGTCACGGCAGAAATAGGCAGGGTGGTGGTACTTACCCGCACGGACTCACAAGACGTCCTACCATCAGTAATTACGCAAATTATAATTTTGCGGGTTTGATTTTGATTACACGATGTTGACCCCCTATTCTGCCCAGCGCTGCCCCTGGTGGCGATAGAACGTCGGATGAGAGAGTCTAAGGGGAGTCGCTTGATGTATAGAGGCCCTAAAAACAAAAATGCTAAATAATCTATATGTACCGGTCCCCAGGGTACCGAAAGTCCAATATCAAACACGCTGTTAGGCTCGGGAACCAAGTTCTTTGTTCATGTTCATCTGCAACACGGCTACACAGCTTTTTGTCCTTGAGATATTCGGAGGGTGTGGTGGCGTGCCTTTGAAGGCTGCTGAAAGACCCCCTGCGGGAATAGCGCAAAAACTATTTCCCCCAGCTCCCGAGGCCGGAGTCGTAAGGTTACCGAATCGTTTTATATGGGTGAACACAAGGCAGCATGCAGCCATGCCGCCACTTCCGAGGAGACGAAGACGACGGTGGTGAGGCCTTTGGTTGCGAGTCAGCCTGCTCGCAGAAGACCAGGGTATCAGATATCGATAGAAACACTTAATATGTGTCGGGCGATAACTAAAACGCATCGCCACGCGGAGTGCGACCGTCTCAAATATTACATGGTATGGGCATATTGTCTTTGCTTTCTCCAATCGATAAAATGAACGAAAAAAAGGGATGTCAAAAAAAAACAAACAAATAGAGTTTTGCAAATGAGAACAGAATATTTTTGGGAAAGAAATTAATTTGTAATAAAAAATTATGGCTTTTGGTATTATTAATAATTTAATTTCACAGCCAAATGTCTGTAGGTGTTGTCTATCTGCTAGCGGCGAGTGGGATATAACGACGTCTTATTTAAGTGCGGACGGAAAAAAAGAAGTTTATTCTGAAATACTAAAGGATTGTTTCGGGATTTCTGTAAGTGTTTTAGCAACAGGAAATCGTTTTATTATAACGAATTCTCAATGTAAACGAATGGTCTCATTAACATTAACACACTACTAACTTTAAGATCCTACATCGTAAAACTCAACATAGAAAAAAATAATTAAAGTCGTCCTACAGCTTATTTAATCTAAAGGCTACTTATATTTATTCGTAACCAATTTAGGTTCTTTAAAAATACGACATTAATTTTATTGTAGTAACTGGTAGTACTATTGGTGTTATTTATTATTTTGTTTTTTTTAAACAATTTTCTTTTACTCAAAATTATTTAATTTAATTTGTTTAAATTTGTCTGCAGTTATAGGACTGGATGGTTGTCATTTGAAGAAAACACCCCATTGAAAGATTCCATAATAAAGATTGATAAAAATTAACAAATTTGCATGTACAAAAAACTACAAAGACGATAGAGTTGCCCCTTAAAAGCCAATATTTTTAAATTACAGCTATCGATCATAAAAAATATAAGTCTGAGTTTGCGAGTTTGTCAACTATGCGTGGAACACCTCCGTGAGGCGATTTTGTTCAAGAAACAAGTTCTAAATGCTGAAAAAGTTTTCAAGCAATATTACGGTAATTGTAACACTACTATCATCATTGTTCTCCATCAAAGAAGAGAGGGGTCAACGGTAAGCGTTGCCATAGTTGTCCTCCCACCGTTGCTGATGTGCATGAGCTTGTCCTTTTACTGTCATTCGCTAAGCAGCATATTAAAATAGCATTGAGACGAATATGTTAACAATCCATGGATTAATTGTGTTGGTGCCGGGTCTATTGTTGAGGAATTTGGAGAATGCCAGTGGCTTCGTAACATTGATAACGAAGTAATTGAAATAGTTTTTGTTTTATCAATAAACAATATTAAAAATTGATTTTCGGGTACCGGGTTCATAGAGATAATGTTTTTTTTTTGTAATTATTCAATAATTGAATAAATAAATAAATTAAACATAAATTTATATTTTAGAACACATTACAGATATTCATCGAGATATAGCAAAACCTTTAGGAAATACTCTAAACGAGGATAACAATTTAATATGCAGCGTGGACTCTATTGAAGGCAGCGGTAAGTCTCATTTTGCAATGGATAATGTTGGTTTGTTTTAAATGATTGGGATCAATCATTCTTATTATATTGGTTTATTCTCAGTCGTTTCACTCTTGATTGAGTGGTCGTGCAGTCATGTGTTAGAGGAGGCATAATAGCACATTGGTACAATATTGGTATAATAGTCTTCATATCCCATATACCCAGGTGACAGGGCAACGCAAAGCCGTAGCCCTAATCATACCCTGTCGGATACCCTGGGTTTGCCTTCAACGCTTTTAGGCCCTAGAAGCATCGGTCACCGTCCTCGTTAAGGACGAGGAAGAGTCCATAGACACAACCCACTGAGTTTCTCGTCGGATCTCCTCAGTGGGTCGCGATTCCGATCCAATGGTATATTCACCGAAGCACTGCTCTTGCTAGGGCCAGTATTAGCATTAATGTAGCCATCATGAAGCCTAAGATTTCTGACAGATACCTGATTTTAGCCAACGATTTTTTCAAGATACCTTTGCTACACTTTGCTTGATAAAAGAAAAAAAAACCCTATCTTAAACTGATCCTTGTTACAGATTTGCAAAGAAAACCCGATTCACTTAATATTTGCAAGAGAGGCAGTGAAAGAGAATCGAATGGGCACATAGTTGATGATGATGTTGATGATGATGATGATGAAGAGACACCCATATCGGAACTCGTGAAGAGGAATTCGCATTTCAAAATACAAGATGAGACTTCAAAACATATTGACCCTAAAGTTGAGAGGCGTAGAGTCCAAAACTTATGTGAGTCTTACAGGTTATTGGCGTCCACAGAGTTACAGCTAGATATGTGTCGTTCGTTCAATTTTAGAGATTCAGATCAGTACTGACCTTATGTGACAACGAACGACTAAGCGAGACGGGCGAAGGGCGAGACGCGGCAACCCGAAATGACCCGAATGACTGTCGTATGGTTCTTTTCTTCTGATTCGTAGGTTTACGAAGCATGTTGCGGATAATAACATGTACTTTTAGGTTAGGAATATTGTGTTCTTTTTTTTTATAATTCGTAGGTTTTGTGTTAAACGAGTCGATTTAGTGAACGACTCATATTTTTTGAAGTGACCCTATCGTTCGTGCGGAATTTGAGACCCGGGTCGTTTGATTCGTTTGTTCGCGAACGACACATATTTGGTTACAGCTTAATGGCGTAGGTAGTTAATAATATTATATCTATATATATAAAATTAATTGCTGTTCGTTAGTCTCGCTAAAACTCTAGAACGGCTGGACCGATTTGGCTAATTTTAGTCTTGAATTATTTGTGGAAGTCCAAATAAGGTTTAAAAGGTAGATAAATATGAAAATGCTCGGAATTAAATAAAAATAACAATTTTGTTTTTCCTTTGACGTGTCCCCCGTCGGACGGATTCCTTTTATTTGCTTTAAGTTTATTTTATGCAAAAGTTTAGGTCTGTTATTTATCGATTGAGGTACTACGAAGTCTGCCGAGTCAGCTTGTAGGTAAAATAATATTAATACGGATCTATTTAGTCACGAATCACGTGGCATTTATTATTATATTTATTTAAGTATTTTAAATTGTGAGCCGCAATGTATTGCATACGATACTGGAGGCCATTGACCTTACAGCTTATTATTAAATGTGCTCAACAAACGTTCATAAAGGATATTTTTAACGGATTCTTGGACTGCGATTCTATAAGTGACTGGAATCCATTATAGAAAGTGGGTTGAACGGTCGAATCGTTCTTTGTCAGATTTGTGTGCGTATTTTAGGAAGGCATTGAAAATACAGACTGGCGCTAGTCACATCCGCCCTCGTTTCACATCTTTTCTTTTGTTTCTTTTCGAATTCTTGTCAAGACTGTCTTAGCCTATGTCCAGTCATTGTGAGTCGTATGTCCTGTCAAGGAGGTTTTACGCTATGATAAGGGTAGTCAGATTAATTTACTCCTACCGTCCTACCAGCACTCTATTACCAATCTTCAGTCAACGCGTGGCCACATTGAGTATGAAACAATTGTCGAAAACAGTACTTTTTTTTTTGTTTCTTGCCTAAGCCTTGAGAGGTTTTTTCAGCGTAACCTTAACTAGTAGGTGAGCTCACGGGGCTCAAACCGTATGAAACATTTGTCGAAAACAATATATTTTTTAACATAAATGATTTTGTCATGATTAACGTCTTATGAATCGATTAATTCCGGCTGCACGCACGAATAAGTGTCACGTTCCGCTTGAGTCTGAGCGTGCAAGTGAGAGCGCGGTGCGAGCGATAGAGAGGCACGATCGGACCGTGCGTTGGCTTGTGATACATTTATCTCTCGTCTCGCGTGACGTTAATTCGAATAGTTCTGCTACTGACCTTATCACGTAATACTGTAGTCCGTAAACAGATTTTACAGGAAAGCATTTTTTTTTTTCAATTGTTCGATAATGTTTTCGAAGATGTTTTTTGTTTCAGGTCAATATAAAGTACAGAATTCCGTTAAGGAGCTATCGGAACGGAAACGACTCATCGTAACTTGCGAGACGGTCCTCAAGTGGACAACCGCTTGCCCCTTCCGCCACCACAAAAGCTGGTTCCAGTGCTTCTACTGCACCGAGGACTTCATGGAGATCGCGAAGCTTCGCGAGCACACGGCCAAAGCCCACAATAACACAGACGACGAATTAAAAAAAATTAAACGCTTCCCTAGATCATTGCAGATCGACATATCGAATCTCAAATGTTGCGAGTGCGAATTAAATTTAGTTGACGTCGAAGCGATGCGGCGTCATCTCGCCGAAGCTCACAACCGGGTTCTGTACAAAGAATGCATAGCCGATTACAAAGTGAACACCAGTCCTTACACTTGCCACTTGTGCGGGAAACGGTACCACGTGTTCCGTAGTCTGACCACGCATCTGAATGTGCACTACGCGAATTGCGTTTGTGATGTGTGCGGGAAATCTTTTATGAACACGAAACGGCTTAAGGTCCACAGGGCGACCCACGAGAATGGCCACTATCCCTGTTCCGAATGTGGGAAGGTTTTGAAAACGAAAATATCGAAAGCGAACCACATGGGTACGCACGCGAAGCGCGTCCTAAAATGCCACATCTGCTTCGAACCGATGAAGCACTACAACGATCGTCTGAAGCACATGTCCGAGCGGCATAATGTGACGCACAAGTTTGTGTGCCCGGTTTGCGGGAGGGAGTTCAATCTGAAGCATTATCTGGCGACGCACGTGCGGCAGACTCACGGGAATAGAAACAAGGCGTGCCCGGATTGCGGGATGACGTTCAAGACGAATTACGGGCTTAAGAAGCACATGCTGAGGCACTCTGGGATCAGGGCCTTCAAGTGCTCGGTGTGCTGTAAGACGTACGCCAGGAGTTATACGTTGAGGGAGCACTTAAGGACCCACGAGAGCGAGGGGGTCGCGACTCTAACATGAAACAGAAATGTCGTCACAGATTTCGCGTAAACATATTAGATATGTTTGTATATGTGGCTGATGTATTTTCGAAGCAGCTGCCCTTGAGTTGTCAGGTCTAAAGAAGCCCTCGGGCAGCTGTTCCTAGAAAATCTCATCGCTTCTGGCTAAGCCTGTGCTTGCCCGATCTGGTGAATCTGGAAAGGCCTCAGAGCCAAGAGTCATCCTTCTTTCCTAAAAAATAAAAATATATGACATCACTGGATTCCATACAGGATTGAGCCGAGAGAGTAATTTTATTGATGTATAATATCTTTGAGAGCTGCAATAGTACTTTGTGCAATTTCGGTGTGATAACACAAAGCTTACAACTTTTTTTTTCTTTTTTTTTTATTGCCCTTGTAGACAGACGAGCATACGACCCACGTGATGGTGAGAGGTTACCGTCGCCCATGGACTCCAGCAATGCCAGGGGCAGAGCCAAGCCGCTGCCTACTGCTTAATACTCTCCACAAGCCTCGTTTGAAGAAGGACATGTCATAACTTTCGGGAACCGAGAAATGTCATCAATTGTACTTGGAGCCCTGCACTGTGGTCCTAAGCTAACAACTCCACGGACCATTTGTTTTGTTTGGTTTTACCTTTTTTCCTACCGAATTGGTTACCTAAGGAGCTATTCCGCCTACGCTTGGACCGATGTTTTATAGTTAATCATGACATGACACAGGAAAATTCCCTAGACACCAAGACACTCAACAACAGACGACTCAAGACATTTAATTCTACCCTCACATAGAGTCTGTACGCGATTACATAGTTTGCGTCTAGTTGAACAGTTTCATTCAGTACCCGGATTCGACAAATATTGCCTCAGACACAGCCCACTGATTTTCTCGCCGGATCTTCTCCATCCGGTGAAAAAAAGAGTGGAAATATACGAGTAGTTCGCTCGTCATAAAACATTCAAAGGAATATTACAATGCCATCCAACTCGATATCAATAAAGGGGTGCCGCTCTGGTTCCGGTAGTCAGTTGACGTGGTGTTTGTCACTATCAGGGCCCTGAATCTGCGATATTTTAAGGTAAATCTTTTTTTGTGTATGGAAACTAGCGACATTTTGTAGCGGATGCCCCTAAACTTATATTTTGTTAAAGTTAAAACATTTAATTAATGTGTAAGTAAACACAGAAAATAAAAAATGTATAATCATACAAGTCTTTATTTATTATAGATAAATTGATTAAATTTTATCAGAGAGAGAGAGAGAGAATACACTTTATTGCACACCAAAACACAATTTACATTCAAAAAAACAATAAAAAAACAGATACATTTGTACAATAGGCGGTCTTATCGCTAAAAGCGATCTCTTCCAGACAACCGTCAATCAATCAATCAATTAGTGGTTTCCGAAAATTCACAAAATCCTTCATTAAAAATAAAATATATAGGTAACATGTTACTGCCATCTACAGGAGCAATGAGAAACTAATCGAAGCGAAGCCATCTAGTAGCTGACGCCCGTAAACATTTTTGTTGAGTGCTCGAGTTGCTTATCTATAACTAGTTTATGTGTATTATCTAAGGTAAAAAGTGTGTTAGCTATCATTAGACAATTCTACGCGAACCATGGAAGCATTATTCCATAACTTAACTTTGTTGAAATTAAAGGGCGATCTTAACGCCCAAACTGGTTTGATTATTCATAATGTGTTGATCATGTCTAACGAATTAAAAAGTGACCCGAAAAAATTTCATTTTTAAATTTAAATGAATAACGTTTTTTTGTGTAATTGTATTATATTTAGTTTTTATACACACAACACTAGAAGTGTGTGAGCGAGAGATCCGATATGCCTATAAGTGTGAGCGAAAGGTCTGATAAAAGTGATTTATGACTTAGTTCGCACGTTTGTAATGGCTCAAGTACAATCAATGAGTTCGACAAGGACTGACTGGTGCTTGAGAGGTCTAAAAGCACCGAGAGTGAATCCCCCCGGATTCACACCGGCTTCCGATGTCGTCATGACCACAGAGCCTCTGGGCTCGTAGAAGTGTAGACATGTCATAGCGTTCGGGAAGCACCGTGGTGGGGAGCTCATTCCAAAGCCGGATGGTACGTGGCAAAAAAGATTTCTGGTAACGCACTGTGGATGAACGCAGTGGCCAGGTAATATGGATGAAAATGGATGAAGTGTGATTGCAATTCCCAAACTGTATAATATAGAAAGGAGTATATTCAAAACAGTCACTATTGAAATCAAACCAAACTGTACCCTAAGCACCGGTCACCGTTCTCGTTAAACCCGTCGCTTGCGACGAAGGGCTCAGCGAGCAAATTAACCCACAGACAGCCCACTGAGTTTCTCGCTGGATCTTCTCAGTGGGTCTCGTTTCCGGTCCTGCGGTAGATTCTGCGAAGCACTGCTCTTGCTAGGGTCAGTGTTAGCAACTCTCCGGTTGAGCCCCGTGAGCTCACCTACAAACGTTAGGGTGAAGCTGAAATAGCCTCTCGAGGCTATCAGCATAGGTAGGAAAAAAAAAACAGCAAAGACAAAAACAAAATAAAGCTGGAACCAAATGTCAAAAATGTGGCGGGAACGCTGGAAGTTGCGTGAATTGTCTTATTTTGTTAGTATTTCTTCAGGTTTAAATGTGTAATAACGGTGGTTTATTACCTATTTAATATCTGTGAAAATGCACAAATGTGGGAAAATGAAACAAAGCCGCTGGACGTAGCTGCTCGGGATCTTCCAAAAAGTCAACTGAAAGTCTCAGTAAATAATCAACATTTTACTGAGAGTATATTTCATTACATATCATCCTATTTCATTTAATTTCATGTCAATTGATTAATGTTTCAAATTAATGAACTTCATTTCATTTCATCCTATATCAATTTTCAAGAAAGAGAATAAATAGAACACAAAATATTAGGTAGTGTACCTTCGCCTTTCTAGTTGGAAAAATGGAATTACTACTACTATCTACTACTGTCAAAAATGGTTTTTGTCATTGCCACTGACATATGTCAGATGGTCAGGAATTAGCACTGAAGTAGGAAACCTATGTCTATGGGAATTAGCCAATGTAAAATGTAAATACTGGAGAGGAGAATACCGTATAAGTACCTATTACTGCGTATAATTTAAATCCTGGTAAATATTTTTCACAATAAAGTGGACGTATCTCCTTTCAATATATTTGTTTTTTAAACATATACAACGCAATAATACTACAAAAGAACGGAGTCCAGTAAGATAAAGGCGTATTTGGTTTAATTCAACATTTAACTTCGTAGAAAGGTTTGGTTCTCCAAATAAAAAACAAAAACTTCCATAAAAACAATGTTCTTTAGGATTTGCATTGATCAATGTTGCTCAAATAATATGTCCATGTAAACTTAGTATACGCGACATTTCGTTGTGTTGATGTGCGATACCGTAGTTTGGATTACTTCTCAGCTATTTTATAAACGACTCATTTTCAAGTTTCGGTTAGCAAGTGTCCTGTGCAGCCTACTGCAACTCACAGAACCACATTTTAGAATCGTATTTATTAAGAATATGAACTCAATAAATGATTAAATTTTATTGTCTCTTCAAAAAGTTTAAAATAATGTGCTATTTTTAGACTAGCATTCGTTTTGTGTCTATTCATATTCAATATTACTTATCATTATATGTAAGGATTTAAAAATAAATTAATTTGCATTACAAGTGGGTAGGGCACCATGCCAATTTCTGTTATTTTTTTATTGCTTAAATTGTTGGACTGGTTCACAGCCCACCTGGTGTTAAGTGGTTACTGGAGCCCATAGAAATTTACGACGTAAATGCGCCACCCACCTTGAGATATCAGTTCTAAGGTCTAAGTATAGTTACAACGGCTGCCCCGCCCTTCCAACCGAAATGCATTACTGCTTCACGGCAGAAATAAGCAGGAGCAGCATGTTATGAAGGAGTATGTTTTCTTTTCTTTAACTAATCTCTGGTAGCCTAGGGATCTATTCCTAGATATACACAGATCAGTAAGCAAGTTCGTATGCTGAATCCAAAATTAACACTGGTCCTAGCTGTGTAGTCTTTACTGAATGTACCATCACTCCACGAGAGGCATCCGTGACCTACATGACAGTCAAAGGGCTAATTAATAAATACATATTTTTAGAAATTGACGGGAAATTAATACTATGGCTGAAGCTGAAATACAGATGCCGCATTACATAGATACAGATGAAAATGTAGGAAGTCGCACGATGAGCGTTTGCTGCTGTTGTCTGGAATTGGTTTGTAGGAAGTGTCTTTGGACTGAATACACCTGGATGGGGCAAGTAGAGGTGTACGGTAACATGATTAAAGACTGCTATGGGATTGATGTAAGTCTTCCACAAATTAGATACCATTTTATTTTTGATTACGTATTAGAAAAATCCTTTGAATACCCCTGATGTTTCATAAAGATACTGATTTTGATTGGGATTGGAACCTATGTTCCATGATGCATTCGGTAGAATTAAATATTAAATATATGATACCTATAAGATCATTGTTGTAATAATTTTTCTTATTGCTGATTCACAGATGTGAATTCCGCTCGTTTGGTGGTGAGTGGTCACCGTTGTTCAACAGCATCTTGAACTGTGCAGAAGGATATGTAGTAGCTCTCAGGTAACAAATTGAATTGTAACTATAAACGAAATTCTATTGATCAATGTATTGTAAGTTCATTTAAGGGTATATTTTTATAGTACCAGAAAAATGTTTCGGGCGTACACATACGAAGGCTATCACCAAGAAAGTACCGTTAATATATATATTTTTTTATTTATATCAGCAAAGTTATTACAAGCCGAAAGTTTCACCAAATTATTTATATTTTATTCAACCAATTTATTCTATGGTGAAACGCATAATATCTCCCTCCTTTTCGCATATATATGGCCCCGGCGCCGCGTCAATCGACAGGGGCAGGCGTTAGAACGTTCAAAAAGTTTGGCCAAAATATGTTTTCGTTAACGAAACGCAAGCTATATATTTTTTAAGCATGAACAAATTCGAATTTCAAATTTCCCTCTAAATTTATTTACGAGCTAAATCGAACTATTGCGACTCACTGAAAATGAATCGAAATGTCGCGTGCTTTGTTCGAGAGTTGCGCCCATACGGAATTACAATTAAGCCTTCGTCAAACAGAACGCGTACTTAGCGCCGCGTACTTAACGTCGCGCTCTTCAAATTGACTAGATGAGTCTAACGCTCCTTGACGCAACGCATTCGCCAAATCCTAGTCTTTCGATAGCAGTGTGAAAATTTAAAAGTATTAAGAAATCGAGTGATTCAGATGTGGCATTGTATAAGCATGGGTATTTTCTAACTATTTATATCATTTTTTCGGGCATTATCTAGTATTTTAATACACATTCACTCGGACGCTAAAATAATATTTGTAAAAAATTACAACGCCTGACGTCAAAGCGTCCTAACGCCGCGACAGAGCGCTGCGTACTTATAGCGCTAGCGCTCTGTTTAACGGTATGTTACCATAGTAGTACAACACATCTCGGCGTCATAGCGCGGCGTCAGTTTAGCGCTCTGACACGCGCTAATTACGCGTTCTGTTTGACGAAGGCTTTATTGCTTACGAGTTAGTACGAAAAGTGAATACCATTTTTATGGGTTAATCAATCCTTTTGTTTCATATTTTGTTTTGTCTATTCGATATATGTGATCAGAATCGATGACTGATGTCTTTTTTCTGGTACTTAAGAATATTCCTGACAATCTCGAATTGGGGTCGCACCCCCGTATTGTGTGAGTTTTTTTATTTTTAATCCATACTATAATAATATAAATTTGAAAGCGTGTTTGTTTGTCCCTGTTTCGGGTCGAAATTAAGCAATTGAGATTTTGTGTTTAAAGGGTTACACCTCTTATCACGAAAAACCGTTTCATACCAGCGGGAAACTATGTAGTTTAGAAACAAGTCGAAAAATTCATCAAAATCGGCCATATTAACACATTGTACGCTAAGCCCGCGAAAATACTGGATTGGAAGTCTGTCGCTTGAGCGTCGATCCTGCGGAGTTCTTGGCAATCTGCCTCCTGTTGCCATGATTACGCCGATCTTCATTTTTTTAATATTTTACGGAAATATACAAAATTTTTAATATTTTCTTCGCGTACTCATTGCTTGTTATCAAGTATGTGTATTTATTTTTTTATTGCTTAGATGTGTGGACGAGTTACACAGTTCACCTCGTGTGAAGTGGTTACTGGAGCCCATAGACATCTACAACGTAAATACCGCCACCCACCTCGAGATATACCTAAGTTCTAAGGTCTCAGTATAGTTACAACGGCTGCCCCGCCCTTCAAACCGAAACGCATTACTGCTTCACGGCAGCAATAGGCGGGGCGTTGGTACCTACCCGAGCGAACTCACAAGACGTCCTACCACCAGTAATCGCGTACTCGTTGATTGATAAATAAGCCATCACCCAGGTTATAGGTGCACCCAGGATACGGTTGAAAATTTCAAAACGGCAAAATGAAACCGTAAAAGTAATTTTTATTTATGCCCGCGTCCGGCTAAACTCGGAGGGATCATTATTACAATCGGTTTTAGGTTGTACATTGAAATGTGTTTTGTTACCAGATACCCGGGGAAAGTAGAGGCATCTGCGAAGTGTGCATAACTCAGTTGCGGAATGCAGTACGATTTAAACGACAATTGATCCTGTCCCAGGACAAATTGATTGCTCTGAAAAGTACGTATGCGAATTGAGGACTTTGAACACATCGCCTTTTCGCATTAAAAGTGTATTCAATTTCCAAAAATATTCGAAATTGAGTTAATATGCGGAATCATTTGGTATCACCAGTGTATTTTTCTCATAAATACTGTCAAAAGAGCGTAGTTTAGTTTTAGTTTTCTTTTTATAATAGTTTACCTATATTTTGACTACTATTAACAAAATTAAATACATAATTTTATCTTACTTTAAAAGGCAGATAATGTAAACTGGTAAAAAATAGAAAGAAATTTTGCAAAGATGATTAATATTCAAAATATAACAAATAAACCTTTAAAACCCTCTCCTGTAAAATTAGTAAGTTTTGAGATTATACAGTTTTAATGCGAGAAGACGACATGTCAGAGATGCATTCGCAATGCAGCTTCCGATGAGTTTGGTGTCCTGCGGAGGCGTTCGGGCAGCTGTTACCAAATCCCACCCCTCCTGGCTGAGCCTTTGCTCGCCTACCTGTCCTGGTGAAAACGCAAAGGAGACTGGGCACCAGTAATTGCTCCTTTAAAAAAAAAACGTGTGGCACTCGGGGACTGCCGCGGTAAAGCTATTGCATAGCATTTTTTATCAACTTATGCAATTATAATTAGACAATAATAAATTAATATTAAAACAATAATAAAATAAGACCACGCTATATTTATAAAGATGAACGAAAGCAAAACATTAACTGTCCCCATCACACCCATAAGCTAAACCGCGTGAGAGAGAGATGGGCAGACTTTTCATGATGAGCATGCAGTGCGACGTCACGCCGCGCGCTTATTCACAAACACTACACAAGCGTAATGTGTGAATGTGTTGAATGCGAGCTACATAGTAGGCGTAGTGGGGGTGTCAGGTTATTTCCGTTACGGAATTTCTTGATTCGGTTGCCACGCTCAAAGCCCGCGATAAAAGCTATGCAATAGCTAAAAAACACTTTAGAAATATGGAAATGTTATGACCAAAAAGAGCCTGGAAAATTTATGTCAAAAACTAACGGTGTCCACGTCGTGATGTCTATGGATTCGTGCCACCATTAACCATCAGAAAGGCAGTTAGTTTATCTTTAGTTTTTGGAGGATTACGACCAGATACAGTCTACAGGAGGTGATAGATTGTAATGCACACACACACACACACATACATACTCAACATATATACATACACACAAACACACACACACACAATTTCAATTTGCTACACTAGCGCTATTTCGTTTACCTTCACAACCATACAAGATGATGCTCATTACTTTTTCACTCCATTCATTTTGATTTTCAGAAGTCACAGTATGCGTTTTGTTCCTTCTAACTGCTGTTTAGGTCACTGGACCCTACGCGGCGCACTGAAGTAATTATGTCCATTACTAAGGCGCCTGGATTGCCTAACTTTACTTATTTTCTTTTTAATTTTATTACTGGTGGTAGGACCACTTGTGAGTCCGCGCGGGTAGGTACCACCACCCTGCCTGTTTCTGCCGTGAAGCAGTAATGCGTTTCGGTTTGAAGGGTGGGGCAGCCGTTGTAACTATACTGAGACTTTAGAACTTGTATCTCAAGGTGGGTGGCGCGTCTACGTTGTAGATGTCTATGGGCTCCAGGTGGGCTGTAAGCTCGTCCACCCATCCAAGCAATAAAAAAATAAAATAATATTGTACGTTTTAGTCCCTTACAAATCGATTCATTCTCTGTATCTATAGATTCGTCTTTCCCATAGTCTACTAGATATTCCGTTGCCTTATTAACAGAAATCGATATACATAATTAAATCAGTGCGCCGCGTAGGGCACCGGTGACCTACAAGACAGTCAAAGGATTAATCATAAACCAAAGGAAATGAATAGCATTTATTTCTTGTTCTAGATAATATCGCAAAAGGCAATGAATTTGATCTTGTCGATGGTGATTCGAAGGGAAACGCGCATTACGGGAATGAGTTCGATGGGGATGATTGCGTGATCGGTAAGGCTCTGGAGTTATGATTAATGAAAGGTCTGTGGACGTCATAAAGCGAGTGCCCTCGATTTTGTTTATTGCTTAGGTGGGTAGACGAGGTCACGGCCCTCCTGGTGTTAAGTGGTTACCGGAGCCCATAGACGTCTACAACGTAAATGCGCCACCCACCTTGAGATATACCTAGTCAGGTCATAAATTCTGTCACATGTTTAATGTAAAATAATTGAAACAAGTTTATTCATTATGTAACCATTCATATACCAAAATGAACTTAACAAAACATAGATTCTTATGACACTAAAGTTTATTCAAAATGACCTCCGTGATTTTGAATACAGGCCTTCAATCTGCGCGGCCAGTCGTCTATCGCAGCACGAACGAGGTCCATGTCAATATCGGCGGCTGCCTTAATCAAGGATGTCTTGAGTGACTCCAAATTGGGATGAGGCTTTGAGCACGCCTTTTCCTCCAAGTGTTGCCATATCTTGTAATCTAACGGATTCAAATCTGGACTGGAGGAGGGCCAGTCTTCGTGCCGGATGAAGTCGATTTCACGCGCCGCCAGCCAGTCTTGTGTGCTCTTCGCTCTATGAGCTGGCGCCGAATCTTGTTGGAATACCCAGTGCCTGTTATTGAACATGGTATGAGAAACAGGTTCCACAAGGTTCGTCAGGACTGTATTTTGATACACAACTGCATTCGTTTTTACACCTTTCTCACAAAAATGTACCTCTGTTAAGCCCCAATAAGAAACTCCCAACCATACCATGAGCGAGGATGGAAAATGACCTCGTTGGACACGCGGAATACGGTTGCTCGCTTCTTCACTACTGTGTGCGTACACCTTATCATTTTGTTTGTTGTAGCTCTCTTCTACGGTAAAAATTTTTTCATCCGAAAAAAGAATTTCCCGATATTTTTTTCCCGCGTACCGCTTCAACAAAGCGCGGCATCTCTTCAGTCTCAGGTCCATTAGACGAGCATTCAAACGATGTCCTGTTTTTCTTCGATATGCCCGAAGCCCTAAGTCTTCATTTAACACCCTTTTCACCGTGGTTCTGCTTAACCCCATCTGAAGGGCCAACAGTTTCTGCTTACGTTTGGGATTTCTTTGAATTCGCGCCTTCACAGCTTTTATCACTGCTGGAGTCCTAACAGACCGAGGGCGACCACTTCTTGAGCTGTCATCTACACTAGAATCTTCATTGTATCGTTTGATGGTACGATAAACGAATCTTTTGGTTATATTCAAAATTATCAGTATGTTAAAAATTTGAATTGGCGCGTAACCGCAACGATGCAACGCAATAACTGCAACACGGTCTTCTTTAAGCGTCCACTCCATATTTAAAAATGAGTAAAATTCTAAAAGTATACCTTTTTATTTTCATGAACAATTCGAAATTCGAATTCAATAAACTTTTTTGTGGCCAGCATTCTAAAAGAAAAGTTTTTACTTTGTGACAATACTTATGACCTGACTAGGTAAGTTCTAAGGTCCCAAGTATAGTTACAACAGCCGTTATAATAATAATAATAGATGTTTCAATCTCAATTTCGGTGGCCGCATTCACGTTGGGATGTCCACAGATACGGATAACCATTTGACCAGGGTGGGCCGTTGGTGGGCGGTGGAGAATTCGATAGACCATCACTAACACAAAACAAGTTTTTTTTTTCTACCGTATTTTCGTTACAGGATGCAAACAGGAATCTGTAAATTATTCAGATTCGGATAGCTCTGATGACGCGCCTCTGGTGCAAGCCTTGGACCGAGAGCGAGGTGAGTTGGGTTAGGTGGCGAGCTAATGGAACGTGTGACTCCAGATTCATTCGCGAAGCAGCTGCCCTGAGTTGTTGGGTCGCTACCGGAGGCGCTCGAACAGCAGTTAGCAAATCCTTTCCCTCCTGGATAAGTCTTCGGTCGCTGTTCTGGGTGAAACTCGAAAGGCCTCAGGGCCGCCAGTAATCCTTACTTCCAAAAAAAGAAACGTCTGACTTGACTTCTTGCCCTTATCACACATTAGGTTTTTTTTTATTGCTTAGATGGGTGGACGAGCTCACAGCCCACCTGGTGTTAAGTGGTTACTGGAACTCATAGACATCTACAACGCAAATGCGCCACCCATCTTGAGATATAAGTTCTAAGGTCTCAAGTATAGTTACAACGGCTATCCCACCCTTCAAACCGAAACGCATTATTGCTTCATGGCAGAAATAGGCGGGGCGGTGGTACCTACCTGTGCGGACACAAGAGGTCCCTACCACCAGTAATTACGCAAATTATAATTTTGCGGGTTTGATTTTTATTACACGATACAGGAATAACTCCTTCACCTTGGAAGTCAATCGTGAACAATTGTTAAGTACGTATTTCATTAGAAAAATTGGTACCCGCCTGCGGGATTCGAACACCGTTGCATCGCTATATACGAATGCACCGGACGTCTTATTATTTAGGCCACGACGGCTTCAATCTAACAAACCATAGGGAAGGACTGCTCTGTTTCTTCCTTTAGCGTTTCTTTTACTTCATCAGGTTTCGGTTCTATGATTTGCATTTGATTATCATAAACGTTGAAACTAAAATATAGATTTTCAAATAAATAAAAAGAACATATCACATATCTCTTTTTTTTTTTAATACTGTTTTATAACGGATGTGTGATCTACCATGTGCCATGTAGTTAAGGACATGAGATTTCAATGAACATTCTCACCACCTCCCATGGTCCCACCAACCTTGCGGTTATTAGGACCGAAGCATGAACTTCACGGCACCGAGGTACAATTTCAATGAACAGTCGTAGGTCGGCATTTCATGGTGTAGGGGTCTTTGTTAGCGCACTTAGGTATCACACTGGGTATTTTTGTCGGGAAGCAGTCCTGCCTTCTGGTTTGAAGGTTGGTGGTGGGTAGCCATTGTAGCCTATAAAACTGAGACTTGGAACCTATGTCTGAAGTTTAGTGGGGACATTTACGTTGTTGATGTTTATGGGCTCTGGTAACCACGAATAACCACCACCTAACACTAGCACTGTGAGCTCGTCTGCCCATTTAAACAATAAAAAAAAGAGATGTCCTTAAGATCTTCAATGAATAGCTATCTCTCCCGAGTTCGGGAAGATTTTCACACCGTGTACAGTCTTCTTAATGTCCAGGTGTCACAGAGCGTCGAGGAGTCCCGAAATATAGGTTCGACAACTTATGAACTCCTTCAAACCATACATGTTTAGTGGTCTGCTACATACTAATGGGCATTAAGGTGGGCGTCCATTAATTACGTGAGGTGTTCTGGGGGGGGGGGGTGAAGCTAAATCTTTCCAAATCCAAAAGGGGAGGAGGGGTCTTGGCAAATATCAAGTAATTATACTTCTCGCAGAAAACGGACGCCCCCTAAGTTCTGTACTGGACCTTCTATGCATGAAGTTAAATTAATACTCTACATTGGCAGGCCGAAAAGAAACTCCGCCTAAACTGAGAAGTGGAAGACGACAGTACAATTACATGAAAACGAGACGTAACGTGTGCCTTATCTTAGAGAACTCCACGATCCTACCGTTCAAATCGAACAAGGGCTACTTCACTTGCTTCTACTGCCACAAGCAGCACGCAGTCTTTGAGGAGCTCAAAGTACACATGAGCGAACACAAAGACTTGACGGTCAAAGACAGCTTGAAATGCCTGTTACGGCCGCACGCCATCAAAGTAGACGCCAGCAATTTGTCGTGCAAGCGATGCGGCCAAGCTCAGCAGACGATGCACGATTTGATACAACACTTGACCGAGAATCACGAAATCGACTTTGACTTCGACGCGAAAATGAAACCGATCGACACGGTCCTACCGTACGATCTGGCCGACGGCAAATTCCGTTGTTTCATATGCAAGAAGGATTTCATGTTCTTTAAGACCTTATCGAAGCACATGAACGAACACGGTGCGAACTACGTATGCGATAAGTGCGGTAAATGCTTCATTTTGCCGGAGAGGCTGAGGGCTCACAAGCAGAACATACACATAGATGTCTCGGCCGTGAAATGCGAGCACTGCGGGAAGCTGTGCTCTTCTAACGTTGTCCTAAAGAGTCACATACGATACACTCACAAGAGGATATTGTTCGTTTGCTCCATATGCGATAAGAAATTCATGTCGTTCAAGAAACGTTTCGACCACTTACAGCAGTACCACGGCAGGGCGGCCCTGAACCTGACCTGCGATAAGTGCTCGAAGAGTTTCTCGACGCCCGGCAGTCTGAACAATCACGTTCGGAAGGAGCACTCGACAACAACGAGGGACCCGAAGAGGTTTCACTGTGAATTGTGCTCTATGACGTTCAAGACAAAGTCCGCGTTGAAATGTCACAGCGTTGTGCATTCCGGCGAGAAGAATTTCGAATGTGAAGTCTGCCACAAGAAGTACGGAAGGTCGAGGACCTTGGTCGAGCACATGAAGATACACAGGAACGACAGGAGATGGTCCTGTGCTGCATGCGCGCAGGCCTTCGTTCAGAAATGCAGCCTCAAGAACCACATCAGGGTCCACCACGGAGAACTCAACGGGGATCAGTTATTGATTTACAAGGAACCGGAGAAAACGTGAAGATCTTTAATTGGAATTATCGAGAGATCTGCTTTGGAATTGATTAAAAACGAAATCACCGTTTAAGACCAGGTGATACCGATTTCGTGAACCCTTTGACTGTTCATTTATTGTTGAGCAGCAATAAAGGGCTGAATATGTATATCTATATATTAATACGTGAATCAAAAACTTTGTACCCCTTTTTACGAAAATTGCGCGGACGCAGGAGTATGAAATTTCCCACATTTATAGAGAATATAGAGGAGTGCACAATGCTAATATTTTTTTAAAATAATGCATAAAAGATGCATTAAATCATTAAAGACAACATACACACACATGTATTGTATTTGACACACACACACATACATAGTCTTTGTTTATTGTCAAACTTTTGTTATTGCATAGTCTGTAGTCAAATTGAGAATAAGTTAATATTGTTTATCTTTCTTGGCGAAATCTGTCACTATAGAAATATAATAGTCTTTGACAATAGAATCATAATAATGTTCAAACTAATGATTTCAATATTATAACACGTTAATAAAACTTCTATTCATATGATAAAAATCTTTTATTGTCTCAATTATTTTTTTTTCTCTTCTTCACGTACGGTATATTGAAATGGTCAGTTCTCATATGGCAACCGAGGTGGCTGGTCGTTTTGAAGGCCTTCGTGCATATCTTGCAGCTCAGGTCGAGAGGCGATCTGTTGTGCACCTCCTCGAAGTGCTGCATCCTCATACGGAAGGTCTGAAAGGATTTGTTGCAGATGCTGCACACGTACGACCTCTTATTGTGGTGGTGTCGCTTGTGACTCCTGAGTCTGCCTACCGTCGCGCACGTCTTCCCGCAAACGTCGCAACTGACCGAGCTACTGACGTGGACCTGCGCATGCGCCTTCAGCCTCTCCGCCAGCAGAAAGCACTTCCCGCACACGTCGCAAACGTAATTCGTGCTGTGCTCGTTCATGTGCTTCGTCAGGGTTTTGAAGAAATAGAACTCGCTTCGGCAAACGACGCAAGCGAACTTCCCGTCCTTCAAGTCGTAGCACAGCAGACATTCGGTCGGCTTCAGCATTTTCTCCTTGTAGTTAAACTGGACGTTGTGTTTGGTCTCCAAGTGCTCGACCGTTTGGGGCAGACCGTTCAAGGTCTCGCTGCAGAGCCGGCACGAGACCTCCCCTATATCCGCTTTGACTTTATCGTTGGGTCGCAGGATGTTCTTGGTGATCGACGCGAATGTAACGTTGCCGTGCGCCGTTTGCGTGTGTACTCTCAACTGTTGGATCACGACGAATTGTTTGCCGCAATAGAAACAGTTGAAGTAACCACGGTTCGATTTGAACGGCAATATCGTTGTGTGTTGGAGTAGGAGACCGATGTTCGCTCTCGGCGTTTTGGGGTCAACGTTGCGGATTTGTTTGGGTTTCGACGCTAAAAAGATTAGAATATGCTTCATACTATATTTTTTTCCTAACTGTTTGCTGGTAGCCTAAGAGGCTATTTCAGGTATAAGCCGCGCCAATAAAGAAACGAATCTAAAATGGCGGCGGCGGTCATGCGCTCTCACTCTAAACTATTGCTGTCTTTTACACGGCGCGTACTGCATGCAAAAAAAAATATCAGTTCTAACTTTGCTCTCAGACGCGCTCTGTTTTCTCTCAAATTCTGTTGTTATTTGTTGCATTTGTTCGTTATTTCGTGGTTATTTTGTTATTTATTTTACACCCCCCCCTCTGCCAGGGCACCAAAGTAATGTAAAGTACATTCTCATTTGTTTTTTTATATTTTTTTACAATAAACAACTTTTTTTTGTTGACCCTCCCATCTGTCAGTGCAGGTACATAGACGCCATTTTCGATTCGTTTCTTTATTGGCGCGGCTTATAGGTGAGCTCACTCACTCAACTTGGGAGAATTTACTAACACTGGCCCTAGCAAGAGCAGTGCTTCGCAGAATCTACCGCCGGATCGGAATCTCGACACACTCGATACAGAAGATCCGGCGAGAAATTCAGTGGGCTGTGTCTATGGGTTAGTTTGTGCGTCTGTGACTGATCTTTTAGAAACACTGTTTAAGTCGTCGTGGCCTAACGGTTAAGGTTTGGTTGAGTCTCCTGACAGACACGAGATTTCCTTATAGCACGGACATGTGGATATGCGAGTGTCTTCCAACTTGCACCAAAAATCAAATTGGTAGTACTCATATAACCGAAATTGATTTAACCTATTGCACGTCTTCCGGTATGTAAAGGTGCAAGGAGGATAGACGTATTGACATGAAGCCTTTAAATTCTGATCTAGTTTTAACATTTTTTGTACTAGTTCTGTTTTATTGGCCTTATAGGCAGACGAGCTTACGGTCCACCTGATGGTGAGTGGTTACCGCCGCCCATGGACGTCGGCAATGCCAGAGGCAGAGCCAAATCGGTCCCCACGAGCCTCGTTTGAAGAAGGACACGTCATAGCGCTCGGGAAGCATCGTGGATGGGAGCTCATTCCAAAGCCGGGAAGTAAAAATGCGCGGTTACCCTTGCCCATGGACATCAACAATGCATAGTGATTCAGAATTATTTGCTTAACTTTGGTCTGAAGGACAAGTCATGCGTGTACCAAACAACTTTTTTTAAACTTTACAAAAAAAAAAAAAAAAAAATTAAATCTTGAGGCACCAATAAGTAAATAAGATCGAATTTCGATACTTGGACGACCACTGGTTTTACTAATGTTCAAATTTCGCCAATACAAAATGGTGCATATGTCGCGGGATCCTATCTGGCATTTATTGATCTTTAATTGTATTACGTTAGAGGTCAAAATAAATCGCCACGCGGCATAAACTCAACTTCACAAGATTTAACACCCTACCTACAGAGGTACAACCAATAAAACTTACGTCTACCCACGATTTTGTCTTCGGTCTTATATTTCCTCTCGGGTTCTTCGACGTACTCGCCTGAAATTGTTGCAAAATCAATAAATGGTATTTGAAATTCAATTGGTCAGTTTCTCTTTCATTGCTCAGTTGAATGAACGAGCTTACGACCCATCTGGTGACAAGTCGTGACTGTAGCCCACGAACATCACGATATTTCACACACAAAAACAAGAAAACATAACACAGAACATACTACAATAGATTTTGTACATTACATTGTTATATAGTGCTCTTAAGATATCTTTTTGCTGTTTTTTTTTATTGCTTATATGTGTGGACGAGCTCACAGCCCACCTGGTGTTAAAAGTGGTTACTGGAGCCCATAGACATCTACAACGTAAATGCGCCACCCGCCTTGAGATATAAGTTCTAAGATCTCAGTATAGTTACAACGGCTGCCCTACCCTTCAGACCGAAACGCATTACTGCTTCACGGCAGAAATGGGTAAGGCGGTGGTACCTACCCGTGCGGACTCACAAGACGTCCTACCACCAGTAAAATGTGGGATAACTTTGCGTCCTACCACCACCAGTCTGTGGGTTAATTTGTTCGCCGAATCTTTCTTCGCATTCGACGGGTTCGACGAGAACGATGACTGGTGCCTGGGTACCTAAAAGCCCCGTTAATGGATCGCGAGGATCCGAAATTACGTGTTTAGGGCGATGGCGACTGTTTACCGTTCGGTCCGCAGGTTCCGGTATGTAGTTGCCGGCGGCCACGATAAAAGAGTTATCGTGTCGCGCCGTTTTGTCGAAGTAGGTGCGTTTCCAGGTTACCGTTGTACTAATATATTTATACCGTCCGGCTTCCATCACGGCGTTACAGCTAAGACGCGTTCTCCAAACGAAAACTACTTTACGATATACAGATCGATCATTTTTTAACCCGCCACAAAAGCTACTCATACAAGTCGTGTGCATAGCATTCTATATCCATAACAAAGTTCGACTACTGGTAGTAGGATCTTGTGAGTCCGGACGGGTAGGTACCACTACCCCGCCTATTTCTGCCGTGAAGCAGTATGGCGTTTCGGTTTGAAGGGTGGGGCAGCCGTTGTAACTATACTGAGACCTTAGAACTCATATCTCAAGGTGCGTGGCGGCATAACGTTGTAGATGTCTATGGGCTCCGGTAACCGGTAGATTCCTATTTCAGAATGTGGTACGACATTGTTACGATACTGAGAATTCGATTCCCTCAAAGGGGCACCAGTGGCCACTTCTGTGGAACACCACGTGGGTTGTGAGGACGTTTATCACTACATAGTATAAAACAAAGTCGCTTTCTCTGTCCCTATATCCCTACGTATGCTTAAATCTTTAAAACTACGCAACGGATTTTGATGCGGTTTTTTTAATAGATAGTGATTGAAGAGGAAGGTTTATATGTATAATAACATCCAATAAATAGTGGAGAAATCAATAATAAATTAGAGTTTCCGAAGCGAAGCGAGGGCGGTTCGATAGTTCATGTAATATATAGTCGAATACAGGACAACGTATGCACATACCTTTCAATTTTCCTGTTTCGATTTCGTCGCTGTCGTTTCGGACGTCATCTTGGTAGTCTGTAAAGAAATCTATATTCATTAGGATTAAATGGGAGGAAAAGCATTAGGTTTTGAGGTATCCTACGATAGCACTCATCCTCCATTTCTTCAGTAGGTGTCGTAAGGCGTTTAAGCGACTAAATAGAACAGACAGTAGCAGGACCCCGAAACTGCGATACTTGAAAACTAGCGACATCTTGTGGCGGATGTCCCTAAACTTGTGTCGTTAAAATTAAGGCATTTAATTATTGTATAACTAAACACAGAAAATGAAAAATTAAAAAATCATACAAGTATTTATTTGTTTTATACCAGCCTTTCCCAAAGTGGGCGAAAACGCCCCCTTGTGGGCGCTGCAGGCCTAAAGGGGGGCGGTAAGAGACCCAGAAAAAAAGCAGGGGTGTTGTGTAGAGGCTTGGAAGGCGATCTGTAATTTTATCTAGCAGGACTCTTAGACACCGACCGAGCTCTCATTATAGTGGTTTTTTAATAGGTGAAAAAATGGGGGCACTAAAAAATAATTTATTCTCAAAGTGGGCAGTAGACAAAATAAGTTTGGGAGCCCCTGTTATAGACAAATTGATTAAATTTTATCAATTTGTAGTTTCAGAGAATATTCAGAAAAAGCTTCTGCCAATTTTCCGGTGAATCCCCTAGTCCCCTACGACGAGAAATGGGGGTAGCTATTCCAAACAAGAATTACGGCTCTGATCAACTATGACTAGTTTGGATCTAAGCACCG